ACATAGATACATAGATATATATATTACGCCATACTTCGACAGCAATAGAGACTTTTCATTCAAGAACGAAAGATGTCTCATTAATTCAGCTAATTTTTTTTTTTCTATCAAATTTGATATTCTTAAAAGCAGATTTTCGCGTGAGCCAATATATCACAAGTTCATAATCATTATCGAAAACATCAATAAAAGTGTTACAATTACAGCCTATAAGGTTAGTTTTATTATGCAATGCTCTTCAAATTCAAATAATTAAGTTTCCTTGATACAGGCCGCTTCCTCTTTCATTCCTCTCCTTCCTCCTCCCCTTTTCTCTCTGTCTATCTTTCTTCCTCCTCGCTTCCCTAACCTTCTGCCATTTTTGTGTGTATGAGAGAGAAAAAAAAAGAGGAAGAGAGAGAGAAGGGAGAACACATACAGTCAGACAGACAGAAACAAAAAAAGTAGAGACAAAGACGGAGATAGTATTTTCTTAAGTAATAGGTGTCAGACTATTTCTTTCGCACATTATCAGAATCCTCTTTAACATTAGTAACGCGAGCAATGGCCAACGTTAATCTACTCCTAGCTAAACCTGTTACATAACCAAGACCCGTAGCTTCAGGGTAATACAGATTCATATACTCGCATACTTATTCCCGAGACTAATAAGTATACCTTGCCTCTCCTTGCCATAACCAAACTCATCTTGATTTTTTGCTGGAATCAAGATGCCGTAGATATATTGAAAGACAGAGATAGATGATTAGATAGATACACAGGTAGAAAGGATGCCAATAGAGAGATAAATAGATCAAGATAGGCTAGCAGACAGACAAATGGACGGACAGAAAGCCATGCAGACAGACAAACAGGTGAAAAGACAGAGGGATAGCTTGATACAGAGAAAATTAAATGGAACTTTACAGGCGTAACAGTGCTTCAAAAAAGAAAAGCCTGTGCTTGACAGATATTTCTGCCGACACTACGCTCTCTCTTCTTAATTAACAAATATATCTCGTCAAGATGCAGTTCTCTTTTAGAATGAATAAAGCTATCGCGCAGAACTGGACTGGAAAATTTACGTTTAACAGCAGTCTAATCTGTGTGTGTGTGTGTGTGTGTGTGTGTGTGTGTGTGTGTGTGTGTGTGTGTGTGTGTGTGTGTGCGTGTGTGTGTGTAAATGAGTTATGTCTTTGGTGTATGTGTGTGTGTTTCTATTCGAATTTGTACATGCAAGAGTATTTCCTATATTATATAATGCACGGATGATTTTGAGAGTAAGCATGCGCTATGGATTGTATGTGTAATGATTTTATAATATCTTGGTGAATTCTGTAATAAAAATGCAGTTAATTGGAAGTGAATTAGAATTAAACACACGCAAAGTTTGATTAGTCCACTTTATTTTCGAACTATGACGCAACTCCAAAACATATTTATTGTCCACAAAAAATAATAAAGAAAAACACTTTCATGTGAGCTATCTTTTTATTGTTCAAATGGCAATAGATGCAACAATAGATGCAACGTCAATTATAAAATCATATTAAAGTAAAAAAAAATACATTACCAGTTTTGCATGTATTGTAATATAACATTACATGTTACTGAGCATCACATTTAAAAATAAAGTAAACAAAACGACGGTTTAATTACCCTAAAACCCTAAAACTTGAGGATTTTTCAAATTAAAGTAACAAAGAAAGGCATTGTCAAAGTTATTTTAGGAACGATGATCACACAAATGCACACCGAGCTAAACTTGCTCAACATCACATTTTTTCTGCAACTGAAATCACATTTTCACATTTACTGAGGTTCATTCCAGTACCTCTGTTCCCCAGTCTGAAGTTAGTCTAGCAAGGCTTGGAAGCATAGGAACTGAGGAATACAGGATCTACGTCTTTTTTGTTTTTTTTTACATTAGCCTACTCTTGCCTTTATATACAAGGAAAATAAAAAGAAATTATCATTTGTCTTCACTATACAACCTTAGCCATTACTTTTTGTATAAAAAGTTTTTTTAACTGCTTACTTTGAAGTTTAATACTCGTGTATCCCATATCCCAGATGATCACATCTCAATAAAGAGAGTATATTACACAAATCCATATTCTCAAAGGGCTCCTTGACTAAAAAAAGGTAAAGAACCACTGTTCTAAAGTATCTCCTAAGTGCAACACGTATTCCATTTCCTTCTAGCATCTTCGTTAGTCATTAATTTATGTAATAAAGTCATTAACCTCAGCTCCGAGCGCTTATTGCAATCCGCATCAATTAATCTAGCCTCCTATCGCTCGACGTCTCAGTGGTCTGCCATGAAAGGACAGTTGGTTTGCGAAAAACAGCTGAGGGAGACATTGCGTGTTTTGTGCCAGCGGCAACTGAATGCAGGGCAGGAGGGTAGTAATACTATTCAAAGTACTTAATGCGGACGCTAAGGTCCATAATGACAAAGGTTATGTTTTAATAACGTTGCTTAAATGGCTAAATAAAGTGCCTTTTATGTTAAGGTAAAAATCAGTGAATGTTAAGTTTCATATCACTTACATGATATGAAGAAAAGGCAAAGAGAAAGAAAAATATAAAGTAATTCCGATTAGCTCATCTATAAATGAAAGACGAGGAGAATAGAGAATAAATAGTAGCAATTCTGAAAACTAAACCCACTTTTTAATATTCAAGACCTTGGAAAAGCCCAAGTTATAACACTTTCTATACTTCTTGAAATGTAAAATCTTGATATTAAAACTTTTTTCATACTTCTCGTCATAACTTTTTTTTTAGATGCATATAATTGTAGAAATAAATTAAAAGGAACATTAAACCCTACCTCAAATCAGCAAAGCCAATATATATTCGTCCAAATCCGTTCGTTAAAGTATGAATATTTATTTGTGCGTATGCGTGTGTGTTTAGGGGGGGGGGGGCCGGAAGGCCCGCTGCACCCTAGGTCGAGGAGCGCCCGGCGTTGGAGACGAAGGTCGAGAGCCGAGAAGCATGTTCCTGCAGCCAGGCAAGGCCCCTCGTCTTAATCTCCTTCCGGTAAAACCTGTTGAAGATCACGAAGCAGAACGGGTCGAGGGCGAAGTGCAGCCTGTAGATCATGCGGACGATCACGAAGCTGAGGTCCGTCGACCGGGTCACGCAGAAGTGGATGATGAAGTAAAGGGCGTCCAGGAGGATGTTGGCGAGGATGGTGATGCCCACGGCGAAGCTGACGCTGTCGAGGCTGGCTGGCCCCTCGCCCTCGAACGCTGCCCGCCTCTTGAGGGTGCGCTGGGGGCAGAGGACGGGCAGGCAAGGGAGACGAAAAAATACACATAGGTTCAGTTAAACATGTAACTAACTGTTAATGTGTACATGTATGCGTACACACATTTAGTGTGTATACACGCTTGTGAGTGTGTGTGTATAGATAGATAGATGAATAATTTTATACATGTAGATATGTATAGATAGAAAATTATCATTTTAGACTATATTTCATTACTTTTCCCTGGGAATACTGATGGTACCTAATTCTGGTACTACTTTTACGATTTGCGAAGTTTTGGCTTCGCCCGGTCTTCTGGCTATGGCCCGGTGCAAGTAATACAGGAAACTGAAACTGTAGCATAATTCCATGAATATATTCTTAGTGTCTTTGTTTTTCTAATAAATCAGTATGTTTTTACTCATCTCTTAGCATATAAATTTCAGTTATCTGTGACTGAAAATATCTGCATAAGCATCCCAAAATATCTATGTATAAATGCATATATATACATATATATTTATATATGTGTATATGTGTGTGTGTGTGTGTGTGTGTGTGTGTGTGTGTGTGTGTGTGTGTGTGTGTGTGTGTGTGTATGCAGTACATATACTGAATATGTTTGTTGGCATATATGTTTAATACATGCCTCCACTTTTACAACCATTTCTGACCCCCACTATAAACATTCGATTCACCGCCAACTACACCGTGGCCTACAAAACTATAATGTGTGGCGATTTTTTAAAATGATTCATATCGTATTTACTCAACAACCATTGCTGAGAGAGAGAAAGATACAGATAGACAGACAGCCAGAAATAGAGTAAAGAGAGCGAGCAAACGAGCGAGAGAGAGGGAGGCGGGAAAGCAGAAAGACAGAGACAGACAGAGAAAGAGAGAGGGGGGAAGAAAGGAAGACATGAGGGAAGAAAAAAAAAATACTTACGACCACAAGCATTATGACATACGAAGAGGTTGTAACGGCAATGGGCACAAACAGAGTGAAACAGTACATTGCAAACCCTCTGCCATTCCTAATTGGATTCCACACGTCACCTTGGTCGTAATTCTGTGCATAAGAGAAAAGAAATTACACTAAAGAGGAAATTTGTTGGGGATATTTATCACCTGGAATAACTTAAATTCGACGAATTCAAATATTTAATTAATGTAAAGGGATAATATGATAGATATAACTATGAGAATACATACATTCCTAAACATATTTTCTGATTACTATATCGGTTATACATGTCATCAGAGTACACTATAAAATATAGCGAGGGCTGTCAGACTCATTACTTGAGATGGGGACAGAGTGGATAAAAATATCATATGTTGTATAAGTAGTCTACATGTTTATGCTTTGATATGTTCCAAAGTAGCACAGCAACAGTTTCCGAGAAAGAGACGATTCAATTCACAAAGTCGTGGGCGTCTTTGACATTCGACATTAATCAGTTAAAAAAACTTCGAATACAGTAATCATTTCAAATGAGTCAACCAAGAAGCCACTGGACTAAAAGAAACTAAGAATTATATATATATATATATATATATATATATATATATATATATATATATATATATATATATATATTCATATATATAAAATATAAACATAGACATTTATATATATAAATATATATATATATATATATATATATATATATATATATATATATATATATATATATATACACACACATATATATATATATATATATATATATATATATATATATATATATGTATATAT